CTGCCTTGCAAGCACAAGGTCCCAAGTTCCATCCCTGGCACCAGAAAAAAAAAGAAAAAGAAAAAGAAAGGAAGTGGGGGAACAGTTTTGGGGATGAGGTGATAAACAGGAAGGCAGAGGCCAGATCACAAAGGACTTGATAAGGTGAGGGAAAGATCTGGGGTTTTATTGTATGTAGCATGAGAACTGGAAGCCAACTGAGAGAGCTTAGGAAGGTTCTCCCTGGCTGCTAGGCTGGAGTTGAGGGGCAGTGGGCTCTGAGCAGCAGGCAGAGTGGGCAGAACCTCTTGCAGTGGTTCCAGCAAAAGATGATGGAGGCTTGGGCAAGAGTGGTAGTAGTGGTGATTGGGAGAAGTAGAAAGATGTGGCCTGTGTTTTAGGGGTAGAGGTGACAGGATTGGACAGGGCTGGTGGGGAAAAGGAAGGGGCCAGGCTTAGGTTTTCAGACTTACCATCTGAATGGATTATGGTGGCATCGGGTAGAATGAGGAGGACAAAGAGCAGAGCTGTGAAGAGTAATTCATCATGTATGAAATATTTATGTGTGTGCACACATATCTGTGTGCACCTATGCCTGGGCCTGTAGAGGCCCAGGACCACTGTGCAAGCTTAAGACATGCAAACCACCTCTGCTTGGATGCAGGGAGCCAAGCCCTATTCTGGCTCTTTATCCTCCCCAAGCCCCAAAAGCTGCCTCTACCAGATGGGGATTCCCAGAGGCAAGCTGGGGTAATGGGAAGGCGCCAGAGCATTGTCAACATTTGGGTACATTACCCCAGGCCCAGGAGGCATTGGTATCCCCACCCAGCAATGGCAGGCAGGCTCCAGGGCAGCTGGTGGCGATTAGCTGTGTTGATTACCTCAAGGCGATGCCATCTGGGATGAGGGCACTGAGCCTGGCCCCACGGGATACTTTGCTTTCTGGCGTGCAGGGCTTTCTGGGGCTGATTGCATGTAAATGTGCCAATATTGCTGCATGTATGTTTATGTGTACATGTGCCAGTGTGTGCACAGCTGAGTGTTTCTGTGGGTGCTGAGTCCATGTGGCCACCTGTGTCTGTGTACATGCATGTATGTGCCACACGTCTGCCGGCATCGCTGAGTAATTATGCCGGTGCATACGTGTCTGTGTCTCTAGGTGTGTTTTGTGCACACGTGTTTATGTGTACATGCATGTGTCTGTGCATACACATTTAAGTACATGTAATATTGTACACGGGTATTCTGAGAATTAAGCACCTGTCTTTGGGCATGTCCAGGAACATATTCCTGTGGAGTCACCTGGGCTCCTATATGTGTATCTGTTTAGGAGGAGGTATGCTGTGTGTGTACGTGCATGTCTGCATGAACACAAGTGCCCACAGATGCATGTGGTATGTGCACAACCAAGTGCTGTGAGAAAGCATATCTGGCTGTGTGCACACATGTCTTAGAGGGAGAAAGGGACACGGGCACGTTTCTGTCTATGATGGTAGATTCAGGCAGAGGGAATGTCTCAGGCTTGGCTGCTGCTGTAAGCACCCCGGATCCCCCCTTCCCAGCTTCCTGTGTCCCTGGCTTTGGGTGTTCTGGCCCAGCCATCCCTGCATGGGGCATGTGTACAGGAAGGGTAGGAGGGGCCAGGATGGCACAGTGGGTGAGACATGGATCTGTTCCACCACCAGCTAGCTGTATGATGCTGCAAAGGTTGTACTGTTCCTATGTTCCAGGCTTCCCATCCACAAGTCAGGGATAAACACAGAATCCTGCCTCGTAGGTTTGTGGCAAAGATGTAAGAAATTAGCATAGGTGGAATTCTTAGAGCAGACACCTAACCTCTTGGTGTTTCCTATTTTCCCAAGTGCCCAGCCCTGGTTAGTACTCTATGGGCAGGCTGAGCCTGTGCCTGCTCACGCCCCTCACTCCAGAGCCTCAGAAAGCCCCACCCCCAGTACTTCCGGCCTGCTGCTGAGCTCAGCGCTTCCCAGGCTCCACCACTGCCACTGCCACATCTCATCTGGGCCTCGCTCCTCCAAGAGACCACAGTGGGGCGCCTCTGTGGCTGCTTGGGGTTTCCACTGACTCAGCGCCTCTGGGTTTGCAGGCGGGAGATCCCAGGACTGGCTTCCCCTGCCTGGGTTAGATGGGGCCACGGGGCTGCATTACACTGTGTTTAATAGAGTGCCTCCCACCCCAAAATCGAGGAACTTCATTTGCTCCCCCAATCCTTCTCATCACCCATGGCCCACTTCTTTGTGGTTTTTCTACTTTGGTGCCAAGGAATTTGATGCAGGAGAGGCGGGTGGACCCTTGAGGGGGCTGGCCTTGGCCAATCTCCCCTTTCCCTAATGGAACTGGAAGTATTACCTTCTCCTTCCTCCTTCAGAGTCAGGTCTCTCATCCAGCTGCAACTCCTTTTGCCTTCTTGGATATAAAGCATGCTTGACTCCCAGCTTCATCCCCCACCCAACCCCATCCCTTGCCAGGATCACCACAATAATGAAAATAACAGCAAATAGTTCTCTTTTGTGTCAGGTCATGGCTAAGCACTTTTACAGACATTTAACTCATTTCCTTTAACAATCCGAGGCAGATACTGCCATTAGCCCAACTCACAGATGAGCAAGTGGAGTTCTAGTTAAGTGGTACATTTGAAGTCACAAAGCCTGAGCAGGGGGGTCAGGGATCTGAGTCCTTCTGAACTCATGGAGTAAGGAGGAACAAGGAATTGGCTGGTTCCACTTCTCTGGGAATGAGGCCAGAGCAGAAGGGGTTAATTTGGGGGTGGGGTGGAGGTGCAGACAGACAGAGGGACAGACTAGGAATGTTAGGCCCAAGGACTGGAAAAAGCTGACCACTGAGGCTTGGGCGGCAGCCACGTGATGGGTTGAACGTTCTTGGGAGGAGGGTCTCTACTCCCACCCCAGACTTGGGGGGGGGGGCAGCCAAAGAAGAGGGAGGGCAAAGAGGAGGCCCTTCCAACTCCAGGCCTGGCTCTTAAAAAGCCGCCCGCCCCGCCCGCAGGAGCCCCCTTCCTGGGCAGCTCAGGGCACGCAGGATCCGCCTGCTTGCTGGCGGGCTCACCTGACGGTGGAAGTAGGAGGGGCGGGCCCGGGCACCCAGCTAGGCCAGGAGCGGGGTTGTGCGTCCTTCCTTCCAGTGGGTCCTGCAGCCGGAGCCCCTCCCGCGTCCCCTCCTCCCTCTGTCCTGGTGGGCCGGGCCCAGCTGTGTTCCATTAGCCTTCCTGGCAGGCCCCCAGACCCTGGAACCGCCCCTCTTCCCCCACCCCGAGTGGCCGGCGAGCAGGCGTGCGGGACGGCACTCAGCCTGGAGAGCTCAGGCCGTTGGGAAGCTGGGGACCCTTGCGGCTGGCCCAGGGAGACAGCGCGGACCCCCAGGGGTCCGGTGGAACCCAGGCCTAGCTTCTCCTGGCTGGCTGCTCTGAGGCTGCCGGGATTGCTTAGTGAGGCGAGAAGATACCCAGCCACTGGTAAGTGGGCATGGACTGGACTGCCTTCTGGCAGCAGGCTGAAGGACCCTTTCGGCCCCTGACTGGCTGTGTGCCCGGAGGCAAATGGCATTCCCCTCTCTGGGCTTCAGTCCTCTCTTCCCTAGGGAGATGAGCTCTGAACTCCCTCCTGGTTCTACTCTATTTGCCCCCAAATCTGTGCCTCTGTGTTGGGATGGAACATCTCCTTGGAAGCCTGTCTCACTGTTTCTATAGCTCTCCACTCAGACTGGGGCCTGGAAAGTGGAGGCGGAGGTGGACATGAGCTCATCTATGTTCACGCCTCCACGTGTACCCACATGGTGCCCACCTTGGCAGGCCTTCCATTGGCTGGCAGGAGGGGAAGGCCTGCCTAGAGTTTGAGGGGTGGGATGAGCAAATCCCTGGGATGGGGAATTTTTGGGGGGAGGCAAGCTCTGTCCCAGGAGAAGGGGGCTGGCATCCTACCTCCAAATATATTGGGGAGAGCCTTTCTGTTCTCATTCCCTGTCCAGGACCAACAGAGGAAAAATAGGATTCCATCGGAAGGAATGAGGTCAGACTTCCCAACAGGAAGGCCTATTGGAGGGGTGGTCACAGGCTGGCTGTGTGCATGTGTGTATGGTCAAACTTGTGTGCCTGAGTTTATCAGGTAACATGTGTGTCTGAGCATGCCAGTATAGGTAGGTTTGAATGCATACAATGGTACCATATGTGTCTGTGTGTCTATTGCCCATGTATCTCTGTGTGTGTGCTGAAACACGCATGGCTCTGTGTGCATGTGCATGAGCTGCCTGTCCTGGGGGAGGCTGGATGATGTATGGCTGTGCTGGCTGCTTGCCGAGCCTGCATTGATTTATCTGGACCCGTCCATCAAGGTTTAATAAAACTAAAAGATGAGCATCCATCAGTAGGGGAGGTTGGCAACAAGGTCCTGAGCCCTGGAGACCTGCTCTCCCACCTACCTTACCCAGGGGGAAGTGTCACTGGCCCACACACAGCCCTCTGAGACCTTCCAGGAGACTCAGCCAAGTCTTGAGCTTCTGACCTTGTGGGTGCCAGGCAGGGCTGCCAGCTAGCCAGGTACTGGGCTGGTCTGTGCCAGCACAGAGCACAAATACTGAAATGTTTCCAAGTGTTTTGATAAATAGTCTCTGCCTCAAGCCCCCAACTGTCCAAGCTACCGTGGTAGCTGCCATGGTACCTAGGACCCTCTAGAATTTTCTTCAGTCCAGCAACACACTGTCACAACCAGAGCCTGCCAGGTCCTGTTTCCGTGCTCTGGCCAGCATTCTGTTCTGGCTGGTGGGTGTCTGTGCCATACCGGTGGTTAAATATTTTGATTATCGCCCATGCCCAGATCTTAGCCCCAGGCCAGTGGCTGGGCTCCTGAGACAGACTAACGCCTGGCTAGACCTCTTGCTATGCCAATCTCAGTGGGAGGGGGCTCCGAGGGCTGTCACTACTTGCCCATGTGTGGAACTGTGCTGTGGGAACTCAGGAGCCTGACTTCTCGGGTCTCTGTGGTTTTCAGGTGCTGTGGCCGTGGCTGATCCCTCTGGACCAGGATGTGGGTATCCTGGACACCTGGCCTGTGGCTGCTCAGTCTCTGGGTCACCTTCAGCCATGGGGCAAATACAGGTGAGAAGACACAGGATGGTTAGGGTGCCGTAAGCCTGCAAGTGGCTCTCTGAGCTGTCAGCATCTTTGCATCTGTGGGGCTATGTATGTGCCCATCATATGGGCATTTATGGAGAGTCTAGGGGCTGGGCTCAGGGTAGCCCGAGGAGTTTGCACACTC